TGGGGTAAGGGGGGGTAGGGTGAAAGAGACGGGGAATGGGGGGGAGGGAGAAGGGTGAGAAGAGGGGGAGTTGGGAGAGGGGGGAGGGAGGGAGAGAGACAATCTGAAGGAAAGAGATGTAAGCAACCTCCCCTGCCATCTAGTTTAATTAGCAAGGTATCATATGATACTGGATTTGGAGATGGAAATTTGGGGCTCAAGTTCCAGCTCTATTTACTACCTAATAGCTGGAAGCCATTTAACATCTACTAACCCTAGGTTAGTAAAATCAGAGAACTGCCTCATTCATGACTGTTCCAAGAATTAACTGCAATAATCTATAGGTTAAACTACATGAAACGGTTGTTTGAGACATAACTGGTCAAATACCAGCAATTTCAAATGGTTTAACCTAATTCTTTTCAACAGGATTAGTGAAATTCTCTTGAACAGGTTTCACAGAAAACCTGGGATATAAATAGTAGGTACCTTGTATGGGAGCAAAATAATGAATGAACTCCCATCCCCAATTTAGAAACTAGATAATATGCATAGTGAAAATAACACTCTGATTTAAGTCTGTAGGTAGAATATTAAGACAAACCTCCTTTAAAAAGCTAGCTACTCTAATGCTATTAAAATATACTTCTATTTGCATAAATTTTGAATAACAAAAATAGGAGGCTCATCTTTTATGGATTTTTCATTAGTTACCAATTTATGAAATCCAAAATTTTATTGGGAGGCAGCATTGCACAGTAGTTAAGAGTTTGGGCTTTGCATTCAGATGGCCTAAGTATAAATCCTGGTTCTACTAACCTGTAGTGTAACCTAGGGCAAGCTACTTAATGTCACTGTTTCTCATGGATAAAATGGAAAAACAGTTCCCTACCTCACATGGTTAATGGGAGAATTAAATGAGACAAGCTAGAAGAAGGCTTGACATACAGTAAGTACTAAATAAACATCAGCTAATATCATTATGTGATGTATGTATAGATTTAAGCATAAAATGCATATATGATCTAGAGAAAATAATTTTAGTGTCTCCTATTTGGGATTAATTCAAATCAAAGAGGTATAAATCATACCTTATACTAGATATGGAGTTTAAGTGTAAACCTGGGGCCGGCCCGTGGCTCACTCGGTAGAGTGCGGTGCTGATAACACCAAGGCCCCGGGTTCGGATCCCACATAGGGATGGCCGGTTCGCTCACTGGGTGAGCGTGGTGCTGACAGCACCAAGTCAAGGGTTAAGATCCCCTTAGTACCTTATACTAGATATGGAGTTTAAGTGTAAACCTGTAGTCTACGTGTTATTAACAAATCACACCGCCAACTGCTATGAACCAGACGTAACTCATATTATTCTTGTTACCCATTTCCAGTTTGCTACATGTGTCTCTGAATATTCTCACAATTTCTCTTAACTCGTTTCCCTTCAATCACTGTTTTCTCCCTGGTAGCTGTCATTCCTCCATTCCGCCATCTCCTAGGTTCACGGGCAATTACGATATGATGAAACTTCACCTTATATGACAAATACATACTCCCTCAACTATTCATTTGCATAAAAGCCACTCCTTGATATTTGACTGACAAAACAGGAAAATACTAAAATGTGTGGTAATGCTGAAAAGTAATTTTACCTCGATAGTATTTTTCATTTTGTTGAATGTCTCTTGAAGGTGGCCCTCTTTTGGACTGGCAGAAAACATAGAAAAATCTCCAGCAAATAAAGTAGGAATTCCTGATTTGGATTCTGGTTGCCACTGGAGATTGCTTGCAGTAATTAACATTTGAGGTTTTATAATGTCCTCATTAAGATCTATCCAAAACTTTATTGCCAACAAATTATGGCATTCATCTGATAAATAGATCAAAGGAGCAAACCCTACAAAGAAGGAGAAAAAAAGAATGTCATCATTAACTATGTATTAGATAAATTTAAAAATGCAAGGAACCTCTAAAATGGTCATTTATTTTGGTTTATGCTCATGGTAAAAACAAATCAAGACAGCTGAATTTAGAGAAAGCTCAGGAAATCCAAAATGACATATTATTGTGCTAAAATTTCAATGCCACTACGAGAACACATTTTGTTAACCAAGGCCAAGGGGAAGCAGGTATATTCATACATTGCTGGTAGGAGTATACGTGTGAAAATCCTTCTGGAGAAAAATTTGGCAATACCTGGCAAAGCTACATAAGCACTTAGCTTTCCACCCAGCAATCCCACTTCTAGTACTCCACTCTGAAGATAGATCTCCAATAACAGTGAAATATTTATGAGTAAGGTTCATGAATACATCCGAGAACAAGGTTATTCAATGAAGCACTGTTTGTAATTATATCGGAAGCAAGCAATACAAGTAAAATATTAGCTCATACACAGGAGAGTAGCTGGTGTATCCATACAATGGTATACTACACAGCTGTAAAGGAGAATGAGGAAGATCTCTGTGAACTGATTTCCAGGACACGGTGTTAAGTTACAGAAAAACACGAAAGGCTAGAGTTTGTTACCCTTCTTATAAGGAAGATGGGGATATAAGAAAATACTTATAAAATTCTAAGGCCAAAAATGGGTAGGGGCCACTGGATAAGCCAGAATAGGACTGAGGGCAGAAAAGCTAGGGTTGACCTATGCACTAAGAATTCAATCCTGCAAGAAATTATAAGTTTCTTCTTTCTGTTACTTAGGATTCTGTGTACCTTATAAACGATAGGAATGGAAGAATTGTTATTCTGAGATAATTTGTTTATCCTGTTACAAATGATGGTTCATCCTTTCATTTTTCAGCTTACAAGTTGTCGAGCTCTTTTACCTTCCCATAATCCTGCTGACTGGGCCAATTGTTGAGCTAGGGCTGGATCTGTAGCTCACAGACCCCTGAAGCCTGTTGTCCACACTGGGTCACAAACCCTTCACACGCCGGGCTGGGTCACCAGACCCCTCACACACAGGTCTATGAGCTAGGTAACTGGCAAACAGGTCCCTGGAAGCCACAGGTTCGAAAGCATGGCCATGCGGGATGGATGACCAAGGCAGTTAATGCCAGCCAAGTGGCACCACACATGCGCACTAACTCCACCCACACACACCTTGCTTACAAAGAATGCGCCATACACCCCCAACCAGACCTAAGGCGAGGGGGCCTGATTAAATTATTCTATTTTCCCAACACAAGTAGATTTATTTAATAGATCTTAATTTTAAATACTTTTAAAGAAATTATGTTTCCCATGTACGTTCAATTTTCTAATTCTGGAATTTGCCTCTAATTATATTCCAAACTTGATTACAGTACTGCCCTTCTCCCAAATGTCCTTCTTTAAAATATCAAGTTTTCCCCCCAATTATAAAAGTAAGACTTAAAAACATTTAGAATAATTCAAAAATAAAAAATGAACTTCAGTGTAGTCTGATTTCATTTTTTTCATAAGTAGAGGTTTCATATCTGGATCAAATTACATGGAAAGAAATGGAAGCCTTATTTCTCTAATTACCATGCAGCATGTACGAATGGTAACTGGAAGAATTAACATAAAATTTTTGGAATGTTGACACTAAATAAATCTGAAAATAAAAGGATAAGAAAATTATTTTGCAGCTTTCTAAGTCTGGGCTTGTATAGAATTTTTTGCAACTTTTTAATTCGTTTTAGAAAGTTTCACTGAAATGACAACTTAGCAGTTTATAAAACATGTTCACAAACCCCACCTGGAGTGGGTGGTGGTGTGCAGGTACAGATCCCCCTTCAGCACCAAGATGCATGATACCCCAGCTTCTGAGAAGTGTTGGCAATTCACAACTCACCCCCAAGTTTGCCCACAGTTGAAAGGCTCTCTTGCCTAAGGTTATGTCCACTTCCTGGAGGAAGTCAGCACCCAATGACTGGCCCCTTGTCTCAGGTTGGCATGACTCTAAAGGCCCATCCCAGCTCCAGAAGTCCCCATGGGACTGGCTGAACCACTGCTGCTCAACTCCCTCTGCCACACCTCCTGCCTTCACTCCCTCCCAAGTGCCATTCCTGAGGGCATTTTCCAATAAATCTCCTGCATGAAATCTATGAGTCTGTTTCCCAGGGAACCAGACTTAAGAGATGATCTAATTAATTCTTTTTAGATTGCATTGTTTCTGTAACATACTAACAAAGGATTAGATTGAAAATATACAATGTTTGGTTTTGTTTTATTTGTCTTGTCAGCATGAAGAACATATGAGCCTTAGAGTCCGAAAGTATGGGTTCAAATCCCTTCATAGCACCGTGACCTTGGAGAGGCTATTTAACCTAGCACTGTTTTTTCCCCCTTTGGTTTTGGCGGCTAGCCAGTAAAGGGATCCGAACCCTTGACCTAGGTGTTATCAGCAACGCACTGTAACCAAGTGAGCCAACTGGCCAGCCCTGCCTGAGCTCTAGTAAAGTGGGAAGATATTAGCAAATGAACAGTATTACTACAAGGATTGTATGAGATACTATATAAATGAGGCTTTCAACAATTGCCCCCTTGCCTCATTATGTTAGAAGTGGGGATAGAAAGAAATTGAAACATAGTCCCTGTCCTCTAAGAGATCACAGTATTACTGGGTTGGGGGAGGGGAGGAAGTTCTGGAATGTAGAGATAGGACACAGACCATGTGAGTGTTGAAACAACAACATGTACAACATACTACAAAAGCTGGAGGAAGGAAGATCTAACTCGGACTGCAGGCATCTGGCCAGAGAGGTAATATTTGAACTAAACAATGAATGGGAAGAATTCATCAAGAGAGGGAGAACAAAAGAGCAATCTAAGTAAAGCAAAGGACATTTTTAAAGGCAGAAAGTGTTAAATGTTATATTTATGTCAGGAATATGAAATTGTACAGTTCAGGTGAAGTGTGTGGGGTGGTAGTTTAAGGCAGGAAGTTGAAGGGTTTTTTAGGCATACGAAGGAAATTGAATTTCATTTTCTTTTAAAAAAAAATTTTTTTTTTCTTTCTATTTGGATTTCATTTTCTAAGGGACAGGGAGCCACTGAAGATTTTTTTTTTTCCTTTTTGTCTTTTTTCGTGACCGGCAACGGATCGCAACCCTCAGTGTCGTGCCCGCACCGAGAATATTGTGGTTATAGCCAAGTACAGGAAGATTCAGAGTCTATAACCCCCCCTTCCCAAGCCAAACTAGTGAAATGACAAAAATTTTGAAAATTCTATTATACCTACATCTGAAGAAAAGCAAATAGAATGGGTATCCTTACCTTTTTCTTCTTCTGAGCAGAAATAATTAGAAAATGGCTACAGGGAAAATGATATGTGATCAGGTTTGACAGACAAATGAAGTTAGTAGGGTGTTATGGGTTGAACTGTGTCTCTGCAAAAGATGTTAAAATCCTAACCCCCAGTACCTATAAATGTGATCATATTTGAAAATAAGGTCTTTGCAGATAAAATCAAGTTAAGAAGATGAAGTCATTAGGGTGGGCTCTAATCCCATATGATTGGTGACTTTTTTTTTTCCTTTTTGTCTTTTTTACTGACCGGTAACGGGATCGCAACCCTCGGTGTCGCGCCCGCACCGCGCTCAGCCAGTGAGCGGGAACCGGTCTCCACATGGGATCCGAACCCTTGGCGGGAGTGCTGCCACACTCCCAAGCGGCACACTCTCCAGTGCGCCACCGGGCCGGCCCTGATCGGTGACTTTTTAAAAAGGGGAAACTTGGGCACAGACATGCACACTGTGAGAACGCCATGTGAAGATGAAGGCAGGGATTGGTGTGATGTGTCTACTAGTCAAAGAATGCCTCGATATGCCAGTAAATCACCAGAAGCTAGGGGAGAAGCATCGAACAGATTCTCCCTTTCTCACAGGGTTCAGAAGAATTAACCCTGCCATCACCTTGACCTTGGACGCCCCACTTCCAGAACTCTGAGATAATACATTTCTGTTGTTGTTTTTTTTTCTTTTTTTTTGTGATCGCAACCCTCAGTGTCGCGCCCGTACCGGACCGGGACCGGCTACGGGATCACAACCCTCGGTGTCGCTCCCGCACCTCGCTCAGCCAGTGAGCAGGAACCGGTCTGTATGTGGGATCCGAACCCTCGGCGGGAGCGCCACTGCGCTCCCAAGCGGCGCACTGTAGTAGTGCGCCACCGGCCCAGCCCCATTGTTTTGTTTTATTTTTATTTATTTATTTCTTTACTGTTCTTCAGAAAGCCTGAAGGTATTGGTGGAAAGACTCACTGAGTTTCAAATAGGATTAGTGAAAGAAAGTAACTCCTCTAGGCATGCTAACAACAAAAAATATTTTAAAGCATCCACAAAGAAAAAAACAAGTTGTATACAAGGAATCAACAATAAGATCATCTTCAGGCTCTATAAAATAGTGTCCAGAATACCTTAAAATAATATCCACTGCATAGGAAAGAACTTGACTTAAGACTACTATACCCAACTAAGATATCTTTCATTTGTCAATATATAAGAAAAGATATTTTCAAATAAATAAAGATTCAGAAGTGTCTTACCATTTATATGCTTTTTGTGAAAATTGCCGATGAAAGTACTAGCAGTCGTAGCAAATTAATACATGGGGTTACTCACTGAGCTGGGGAAAATGATCTAGAACCAGAGATGATATCTTCCAGGGATATGGAATGTATAGTGGATAGAAACACAAATTCAAATATCCTGCTCTCACACTGTAACTAAGAGGAAAAAAACAAATTGATCTTGGAAAAGCAGAAAGACAGACAAGAATTACATTGGGTCCTAGCAGGCCTCCTTACTTTTTCTTCTCCCACCCGCCACCTGCCTCACCACCACCACCTGCCACGGGACCATAAGAACAAATCTCAAGTCAGTCTCCACAAGCAGCCCACGCTCTCAGGTGACCGGAATTTCCTGCACT